CCATTGTTTGTGGCTGGTCCAAGATCTTCTTGATACTGACCAACTCCAGGTTCACAGACTCCTGCGCCGAGCTTCCAAAGCCAGCATCCGAGTTGAGTCGGTCATGTCCGTCCTTGCTGTCCGTCACGACCGTTATGGGAACCTGCCATCCTGACAACTTCATGCCCGCGCCCCTTGCCGCGGGGCCTTACAGCATCTCCGCGATCTGGTCGCGCATTCCATGGGCCACGTCCACGGCGTCGCCCACAGAGATCACCTCCGCCCCGTGGGAACTCCTCGCCGCTCTCTTCAGCTTTTGACTCTTATCTTCCAGCAGCGAAAACCGGCCAACTCCGCCGTCCACGAGCTCCTTGTCCGCGAACATGATGAGGTATCTTCCCTGCGTGCCGATTTTCTCCGTCGCTGAGTCCGGTTGCAGCGCCGTCCCGTCGTTCATCACGTTGCCCAGCGAGCCGTCGGACACCACCACCAGGCCGAAGCGCCTTAGGTCGACCAGCCGCATCACGAGCTTGAACGTCGAGTCGCGCTCCAGCTCCCTCAGCACCTTTCTCGCCCGAATCAGCCTTCACACCCGTGGTCCCTTCTTGCGGCCTTTCTCTAGCTGCAGCACCGCCAGGTCATGCGCGTGGTCCACGCGCAGCCTCGTCACCAGCCAGTTGATATTCCCGACCACCTGCGGATATTGCTTCCGTTCCATCGCGTTCATGGGCTAATGCGCCGCCGCGCGCCGAGTCCTGGGCGCAGTCACAGGCTCCAGGCCGGCCGCGTACTCCATCATGTCGATGTGGATGGCTCCTCCTAGGTGTCGGTTGAGGCGGCGGCCACAGAACACGAAGTCATCGCACTCCTCATTGCCAAAGCCAAGCTCCTTGCCCAGAGCATCCATCACCTTCGCCATTTTGTCGATCCCTGTCCGGAGGAAGTCGTCCAGGTGAATGCATGCGCGGCCCCACAGATTGTCGGGTCTCCGCCCCGTCGCCTTCGGTTCGTCGAGCACCAGGAAGGCGGGATCCGACCTAGAAGCCTCCAGTCCCAGCTTGCGAGCTGCTGAGAGCACCTTCAAGCGCCATAGCCTCGGCGCCGCCGGCAGTCCAAACACGCTTTTCCGCGCTCTCGCAAGCCGACCTCGTGAGAAATCAGCGAGTGCAGGTCCATGTAGAGGGGCGCCACTCACCGGGCCGCGCTCGTCCACCTCGCCTTTCAGGAAGGCGCCGCTCACGTCCTTGGACCCGAACTTCCACTCCGGGTGCGACGCTGCCACCTGCGCCAGGACCATCTCCGACTGTGTCGTCGCGCAGGGAGCGCTCACGCGAACGTTCGCCTTCTCGTCAGATCGCCCAGGATAGCCACTGTTGGCCACGAGCCTCGCGTTCGCCTTCAGCGGTAGGTTGTTCATGTCCGTCCGCAGCGGGTCGTCCTTGTCCGTCAACGCCCACCGGGTGCTCATGATGCAGTCGCCCTTGCCTTCGCGCTTCATCGGCTCCTCGAGCTCGGTGGGCTCCTTCTCCAGCAGCACGTCCACGGACTCGGCGTCCACTTGACCCACTGCGACGCCGCTGCCTCCTCGCAGTTCGCCTTGGTCGGCGGATACACACGGCTCCAGACTTCCCCCTTCTTGGCTTGCCCCGGCGCAAGCATCGCCTCGAACTTCGGGTCGGTCCGTTCCACCGTCTCCAGCTGATCCATAAACCTTTTCCAGTCCACCTCGGGTGCCTTCTTGAGCCAGCTGGCGGCCCTGTTCGATGCCTTCTTGACCCGCGGCGCCTCGCCAGGGCGAATGGGCTCTGGAGGTCCGTCACGTCCTCCACGAGATGGGGCTTCTTGTAGCTCGGCTGTCTCCGCGTCGCGCTTTTGTCTCTGCTGAGGCGGCTCTTCCTCCACTGGCTGAGTCTGGTCCACCGCCGGGTCCTGAGCTGCCTCTGCCTCCTGGACGGGCGGCGTACTCGGCGCGAAGTTGCCATGGGGGCCGAACTGACCCTCAGGGATGATGGTTGCCACCAGCGTCGGTCTAGCTGCCATCGGCCTCGGTCGCTCTCGCACTTCGCCCGCGCGCGTCTGGGCGGCCCTGGCCACGCGCAGCAACCTCGACTTGGTCGGATCCGCGCCCTGATCGCGCAGCCTTTCAAACACCTCTTTCAGGAAATCAGTTCCCTCTCTCTGCTGGGAGCTCGTCCTCCTCGAAAGCTCGGCGCGCGAGATCGGGTCGGTCTCGCCTTCGGCCGCGGCGCCAGCCGTCGGGGCAGCCGCGCCCGCCGCGGTGATCTCGCCCATCGATTCCGGCTGCTCCTCCGCGCCCGCGCGGTCCTCCGCTGCCTCCTCTACCTGAGAAGGCCGAGCGTCCTCGTCTGGCACCTCGGGCCCACCGTCGTCGTCTTGGTCTGCTTCGACCTCTCCCTCGCGCGCCTTGGTCGCGCCCCCCGCGCAGACCCCCTCGTCGCCCTCCGCGTCGAGCGGCGTCTTCTCCATGATATCCGGCTGCTCTCTGGCGCCGATGCCCAGCGCCTCGTTGGGCGACGCGCGGCGGGCCGCCGCTGGGTCGCACTTGGTCGACAGGCCCTCGTGCGAGACGTAGACGGCCGCCGGTTCGACGCCTATGACCGCGGCCAGTCCGCGCAAGGCCTTGAAGATCAAGGCTGGGCCCCTCCCCCGCCGATCATTGCGCTTACCCTCGCGGTGAAAGTAGACCGCGTCGCCAGGCTTCACGTTCGCGCTGGGCGGCATCGGTCGACTGCGAGCAACCGGGGCTCGACGCAGCCGCTCGCTGGTGCCCAGCTTCTCCACCGCCGCCCTCGCCGCGCTGACCTGCGGGCGCTTCGTCGCGCGGGGGCCGCTGTCCACCGCGTCGCGCACCTCGATCTGCGGGCGCCCGCGCTCACTGAGCACCCCCCGCGGCAGCGGCTGCGATCGCCCCGGCGCGAGCTGTGCGAACGAGAAGCTGGACTTACTGATCCGTTGGTTCGTGGCCCAGGTGACCAGTGCGGCGGCGGCTGTCACTTCCAGCTCGGCTTCGATCTCCGCCTCCGTGGCACTGGCTCTCCAAAGCACCTTCCATTCGCCTCCGGCACTCTCGCGCATTCCAGTCGGCCGCGGGGCCTCCGCCGCCGTGAACCTAACCTGGGGGCCGCAGCCCTCCAACAACCTGAACGCTTCTTTGTAGAACTCGCCGCCGTTGTCGCGCGCCGGCGAGTTGGGCGCGCCAGCCCAGCTGAGTCAGACTAACTCCAGTGACTGCGCCACGATGCCAGGGTGCTTGCTCTCGATGGGCGCCGCCACCTGGACACCCGTCTTGACGTCCGCGACGCCGAGCATCTCCAGCGCCGCACCCGAGTTCGCGCGCGCCGAGAACAGGTCGATCGCGATCTGCTCACCGAGCTCCTTCACTGTCTTGAGCCTCGCCGGGAACCGAGTGCGTCCCACGGCGGGTCCGAGATGAATTCATCTCGTGGCGCGCCGGGCATTACAGCTGCGCTGCCGCAGTGATCGCCTCGTCGCTAGCTCCGCAAGCTCGAAACGCTCGAAGGGTGTCGAAGGTTCTAGTGAATCTGAAGCACCACGTTCTTTACCTCCTTCGACACCTGCGCCTTTCTAAATTCCGTCAGTTCCTCCAGGGTTCCTCGGTGGCTGGATAGTCCACGAATCCCTGGTCATGCACCTCCTCGGGGTCCGCCTTAGAGATCTCGTCCACGTTGAGCGCCTCCCTCGGCCCGAAAAGGTTCAGCATGCCATTCGCGTTACTCTTCGCCAGTTCCGACGTGCAGTGACCTGTCCGCGCCGTCGCGCTCGGGCCGCCCAGGACTAGGTCATGGGAGTGGGCGCTGTCGCACCGTCTTTCGAGCTCAATCAGCAGCTCCCGCACATGCACTGGTCCACTTCCGCGGCGAAACCTTGCTGGATGAGCTCCGCAGCTCCAGCGCCCCCCAAGCTCGGGATGACTTCGGGTTCTCGATCAGCCGGGCCCCTCCTTAATCCTTCACCACCTTCGCCACTTCCTTCGCGAACTTGAAATGGCCGGTCTCGGAGCCGCCCCTCGCGCGCCTTCGCTTGATCCCTCTGAAGGCAGGCCAGGTTATCCCAGGGCGCACAGGGGAAAGCCATCAGCGCCAACTTCGGCCTGTTCACTCGGATGTCATGCAACATCTCCCACCGCCTCTTCGGAGACCTCAGGTCGTCCCCGAACTCCAGTGAGTAGCTCCTCATAGTTGGGAGCCCCTCTCGAGCCGCCTCCTTGCGCGCCGCCTCCTTCTTCGTGAAGACCTCCGTGATCCGCGGCTGGCAGTTGGTCGCCTCGCTCATCGCTGCCTCGCACTCGGCCCCCCGCGAATCAAAGCGGGACCCGAACTCCGTCAAGCAAGTCTCGTATTCGATTTTGACCTTGTCCAGGTCGCGCTGGAAGGAGTGCAGCTTGTCCTTCATTATCGTCTTGGTGCCGTTCTTGATCTTCTTCTACCGTCGGGGTCAGGCCGACCTGGTCAGCGAAGTTCACCTCCTTCACGATCTTCACTGGCATCACCACGCCCAGCATGGTGGCTCCAAACAACCACCTCGAAAGCGCCGACGGACCTCCAGCAGCCGGTCGCGCTCGATGATCAAAAGGGGCGGGCCGAGGTCAAGCGCCAGTTGATGCTGGCCCTCTCGCCGCCAACCGACCTCGAAGGAACGGCGCCTCGTCGCACGGGCACGCCGCGTTTTTCAGCGCCGGCATCGTCAGCAGCTCCAGGCTGCCGTCTGTCGGCACCTCGTGGTCACGAACGTAGTCCACGCGCTCCTGCTTATTCCTGATCCCAATGGGCGGCAGCACCCGCATGCGTCTCCTCGATGAATCACTCGACGCCATTGAACTTGGAGTCCTGGGCGCAGCGCTGCCAGATCCTTCGGCCGCGCGAGGTAGCGGCGGGATCCCGACGCTCACGAGCGCCTCGCCTTCCTCCTGGGGGGTTCTCCTCGCCGTTGCGCCCGCCTCCATCAGCCGGTCAATCATGACCTTGATGTTCAGATGTCGTGCCCGCGAGATCTCCAGCACCTCTGCCATGTCCTCCAGCGCGTCCCTGGGGGCCCGCAGTAGCTGGTCGCGGTCGCGCAGAAGTGGCCGACTCTCCGAATCTGGCGCCTGGGTCGGCTTGTCTTTCGGCGCCTCGGACTCCGAGTGGAACCTCGTCACGGTGTTCCTCGGAGGGTCCAGTTGTCTTACGTGGCCGTGACACTCCTACCCCTCGAGCCCCCTTATGATGTGTTTCACGAGTTTCATGGCACTATGCTTAGTGTCGCAGAGGTGATTGTCCTCGTTGCGCAGGGAATACAGACAGTCTTGACTACTGTGATATTGTGGCTCGAGTCTCTGAGAGTTCCTAGCAGAAAAAGGACATCACTCACCGTCACCTCCTCCGGTATCTCTCTCAACCCCAACCGATCCGCGAGTCGGCTCGCAATGGAAACAAGAACGCAATGATTAAGCGGGGCAGTGGAACACCGGAGATGGCGGAAAGCAATGAGGTTCCCCTGCCGCCAGAACATCAAGAATATACTCAAGAGAGAGAGAGAGAGAGAGAGAGAGAGAGAGAGAGAGAGAGAACAGCCACCACCAGGACCTGGACAGCCAGCGGTCCCTGGCGGGACGACAGAGGTCCCCAGCGGGATCAGACGCGCCGACACTGACGGCGAACCCCACGGAGGACCCCTGGCACACTGAGGGGATCTATCCGCGGCAGCAGCAGCAGCAATCGCAGCAACTACCAGGTCATCGACACCATTTTGGACGAGAGGCCTGGTGACTGGAGCTGGAGTGACGCCAGCTGGTGGTGGTGGCAGACTGGAAGGAGTTACTGCGACTGGGGATCGTGGGCGTGGGAGTGGAAAGGCCTGGCATGGACAGTGCTGAACTTGCCGGAGCAGCCGCCTCTGCTGCGGTGGACGGGCAGAGCAGTCGCGGGAGAGGGCTTCGGCGAACCGCCTCTCACGACGCCCGCGCTGGCGTCCGCCGCAGCGCCCGCCGACGCGCCGCGAGCGGAAGGCGCGCGTCCAGCGGCGCGCCAGCCACCGGCGCCTAGGGCGACGCCTGGCACGGCCGCGGGCGTCCCGCCACAGCCGAGCGCAACGCTCGGGGCGACGTGGGGCGCGGCTTCCAGCGCGGAGGGCCCGCGGCCCGCATTGGAGGCCGAGGGCGCGGCGTCTCCCCCGCCAGCGCCGCGGCAGCGTTACGACAGCGTAGGAGGCGCCGCCGCAGGAGCCGCCGACTGGAAGCCCAACGACACGCAGGGGCCGCTTCCCTGGCAGGGCTTCGAGCGGCTCGACGCACGGATGGTCCACGTGAGGAGGTGGAGCCGACGGACAGGGCTCCCACCCGAGCAGCAGGCGGGCAAGGTCATCGACGGTTTCCTTGCGGACCTGCAGGAGCGGCTCCTGCACTGCGCAGTGGAGCTCGACGGGATCGGGGGGATGGAGATTATGTTCGGCTTCCTGAAGCGGCGCCGGGGCGACCAGGACGGGGATGAAGCCAAGGGGGCCTCCAGGCTAGCGCTGGAGGACACTGAGATTAGACAGGGCGAGACGCTCGCCCAGTATGTGATGAGAAGAGATGCGCAGATCAGGAGCGCTCGACGACGCAGACTTGGCCTTCCGAGCCGATCCAGGTGCAACGGCTGAAGAACGGCGCCGGTCTCTCGGAGTAGAACCTGGTCAACCTGTTGTCGTTTACACAGGGCAAGGAAGACCTCGAGTCGGTCATGCGCGGGTTACTGAAGATGGGCGTTCGAAAGAAAGCCTCGGTGCCCAAGCAGCGGGTCTACGCAGTGGATAGCGATGACGATGTTGACGAGCCCGACCCAATCTACTACGAGCTGGAAGAGGACCTCATCATGGACGATGAGGGCGCGCTGGCAGTCAACGAGGCGATCGCGGCCCAGAAGCTAGACAGCTAGACGAGGATCAGGCGACGAGCGCGCTGGCAGCGATCCTGGCCGAGAAGAGGCAGAAGGAGGGCAAGCCCCAGAAGTGGGCTGAACCACGTGAGCTCAAGAAGGCAGTCGCTCGAGACAGGGGCTTCTTCGACTCCAAGAGGAGCGATGGTCGCGCAGCCCCTTGCCCTGGGACAGGACGACAGAGGTTGAGTATCAGCAGATTAAATGAGAGGACGAGGTGCGCCAACTGCGGTCAGAAGGGTCACTGGCGCAAGGAGTGCACGAATCCGCACAAGCCGAAGTCGGAACAAGAGGCGGCGCCACGTCCCAAGAGGGAGCTGGGCGGTGGGTCGCTCTACGTGGCAGCGGGCACTCTGGGCGGCGACGACTTCATGGTCGGCAGCATCCGGACCCAGGAGCTGATCGCGAACGCGCTGGACGAGACGACGAGCATGGAGGTCTATGCGTTCGGGGCGCACAGCGAGGAGCCGGAGGGCGCGGTGGACACCGCGGCCGGACAGGCCCTCGTCGGCCAGAAGCAGCTGACGAATCTTCAGGAGAAGTGCGCCAAGCTCGGCGGGGCCATTCCGTCTCGCGAAGCCAAGGGGCCCCCCGCGGTCAAGGGTGGAGTGATGAGAGACGAAGGGTGGAGTGAGGAGCTTGATGCTGTTCCGCGTGGTCGCCGAGGACGTGCCTCCCCTCGAGGGAAAGGGCCGAGTTCTTCCCATGGCGCGTCTGAGGTCCGGGCATCGGACCATGGGCCTTTCGGATAGCAGCCGGCCGCAGGAGTTCGAGATCCCTGCAGCCGCGCAGCGGGACTGGCCAGGACTGTGCGCATATGACTTTTGCGCATGCGAAGGGTCGTTTTCTGCCGCCGCCCGTTGTCCCCCTGTTCTCGCCCAGTCATCTCCCTTCTATCCCACTGGGCTTTCCATGGGCGCTCGAGGGAACTCCGAACCGGGGCTCTCAGGGAGGGGCCAGCTCAAGGGGGGTCTCGAGAAAGGGGGCCTCGAGGCCGGTCACGTTCGAGAGTAGGCGCCGCCAGACAAGAGAACAAGGAGCATCGTGGAGCAGGCGAGGGCCAGGAGGAAGAGAAAGAAGACGAGAAGGAGGAGGGCGGCTACGGAGAAGGTCCGGAGGCTGAGAAAGACCAGGATTCGAGGGGCGCCGAGGACAGGGGCGTCGGGGGGAATATCGACAGTTGCAGGACCTATGGGTTCAGGAACGACTCGGGCCCAGATTCCTCGCCACCCATTTCCGTGGGGCAGCCTCCTGAGACTCCAGAGCAGACTCAGTCTTTGGGGGCCGATGGCGTCTGGGGTGATCAAGACGGAGACCAAGCATTCCAGGTCGCCCAGCGTGAGCGGACCCAAGGACCGGGGAACGGCGCCGCGCCCAGCAGTCAGGTTCGAGGCGCCGAAAGCAGAGCAGAGCTGGGAGGAGATCGGGATTTCGGACAGCACGGGGGAGGAGCTCGATGACCCGAAGAGCGAATCGACGGGCAACTCCCTGCGCGGCTGGAAGCACATGGTCGTGGAGATGGCACCCCCCATGGACGCCGAGGAGGCCGCGGAGCTGCGGGAAGACATGAGGTCCGACCAGATCGAGCCGGTAGCTGACGGTAAGTTGCAGCCATCCCAAGGACGCCTACATCGAGAGGGAGAACCAGTACTGCGAGTGGGCCAAGTGTCTGGCTTGCCACATCCGACTGTGGACGCGCCCATCGACGACAGAGGAACGCGCCGCCCAGCTGAGGAGGAAGGCGGAGCGCGAGGCCAGGAAAGCGACCAGAGAGACCATGCGCCAGGAGGCTTCGTTCGAGACACCAGACGGCATCCACCGATGCAAAAAGCAAACGAAAACACCTCGCCCGGAGCCCCGTCGGCCTCGTGCGGTTCGGGCGACACGACGAACGAGAACGGGCCGCCCTCCGAGCACGACAAGACGGCAGATGCGTTGGCAGCCAACGCCGAGACGCCGTCGAAGATGGCGGCGGCGATCCAGAAGTTGGCGAGCCGCCGCGACCTCTGAGGAGCCATCGGGGCCAAGGGAGGGAAGAGACTCCGGAAGGGAAAACGACGGGGGTTCGGGCCCAGGGCCCCCGGGACCCCAGGAGCACCTACTGCCCAGTCGAAGGGAACAGGGAGACGACCATGGGAACCGGGGAGGAGCTTATCTGGAGGTCGTCAGCCGTAGCTCAAGTTCGACAAATTCGCTGGACTGGCACAGCGAAAGCCCTGCCGGTTTGGTGGGGCAGTGATCGAGAGAAGCGCACCTCCCTCGATCGAGTGGCTCTGGAATGGGGGTGGGTGCATCGAGAACTCTCTGGGACCGAAACCGGGATTTTTCTTGCTCGCGCGTCATGGCATCTCGTGTCCAGGGTCAGTTCGAGTTTGGGGGAGTGGGCCCGAGGATGTCTCGGGATCAGGGGTCGAGGCGCATCAGGAATTTTCTTCGACTCGTTCTCAGCCGACCTCAGCGCACGCCAGGTGCAGCAGACGCTCAGCAGTGTCTCCCGCGACAGTGCGAGCATAAAGGTTTGGACAGCCTCTCCTCCCAGATCGCCGGGGACCACGACAGACGGGCCTCCGCCCGGCTCGGCTGGGAGAACTGCGGACGCATTTGATCAGTCAGACAGTCAAGTGAAGGATGCGAGTTTTTCTCTTCTCCACGGGATCCACACCCTGCGCTCGGGACCCCCTCTGGGAAGTCGGCTTGCTTCCTCGGAGCCCGCGCGCCACGCCCCCAGGGAAGTCCGGGGCGCCGCGTTTGCCTCGGTCGGGAGGGAACTCTAAGAAAGTAGAAACGTCATCGTAAGAGACTCGTCCAATAGTATCTCTCAAGCACTGGGAGGAAGCTAGCAATGGAGCTGTTTTCGGTGCCTCGAGTGTTGCCGGATCTGAAGGATCGAGGGCTTTCCGTCCCCCGAAGTCTTGATTTGCGCGCGGGGCATGATCTCTCGACGGAAGACGGGGAGCGAACTGTCTGGTCGATTCTGGAAGCCGACCAGCCCGAGGTCGTAATTATGTCACCCGAGTGCCTTTCCTTTTGAGTCGCGCGGCGGCCGAATTGGAAGAGGATGTCTCCAGAGCATCTTCGAGAGTCGGGGGAGCTGGGCATAATATTCATGTCCCTTTGTGTGCGGGTAGCAGAGTACCAGATGGTTCATGGGAGATGGTTTCTTCTTGAACACCCCAGGGGGGCCTGTTCGTAGGCGTTGGCCTCAGTCCGGGCGATCCTGGGACGGCCTGGAGTGATCTCGGGAGTGGCCGATCTGCCAGTGCGGATTCGCCGTCAAGGGGGGGCCGCCCAACAAGACACCCATTCGCTTCTTCGTCCCCTGCTGCGTCGGTGTCACGGGGAACACGGGCGCAGTCGCTTGAGTGGCGGGTCCATGGCCAGGGCCGCTCAGGTTTACCCCCCCGGGCCGATTGAAGTTATCTGCGAAGGTGCGCTCGAGGCCGCTCGGATTTCGGCCTTGGGGCATCGGGCAGAGCATCTCGGATCTGACGGACTTGAGTCTGCAGGATGACTGCCTCGTGGCGGCAGGCGAGGAGAGCGACTCGGAGTCGGAGGGGGGAGGGGAATTCGGACGAGAGGCGGCCAGATGCATCGGGGGAACGCTCAGCAAGCAGTTGCAGGGGGAGGTTCTAAAGACTCACATCAACATTAGACAACCCCTTCGGGCGCGTTTCTCAAAATATTGAGACTCGCTCATGCTCGAGCTGACGTTCTGGATTTCGTAAGACATGACTTCCAGTGTGAACGGTGCGACAGCCACGCTCGACCCTGATGGAGGCGCAGAGCCGCGGTCCCCAGGACCCATCGATACAATCGGCTCGTGGCCGTCGATTGTTTCTTTCTCGCGGTCCTAGCGGCCAAGATCGCTGCGCTGAATGTTTTGGATCACGGCTCGGGATTTCAGCTGTGTCATATGATGCCCCCCCAGCGATGCCCTCGGCTCAGAGAATGTCTGTGTTGCTTTCGAGCGGTGCTGGTTGAGGATCTTCGGCCCCCCCGAGGTCCTCATCAGCGACGGCGGGGGGGGAATTTCTCTGGGCTTTCGGCCATGGGCGCGAGCATGTGGAAACCTTTCAACGCGCGTCTGATGCCGCGAGCCCGCGGCAGAACGGAAGGGCCGAGAGGCGCGGGGGTTGGGTCAAGGATGCCGTCTCGAAAGCAGCCGAATTGGTGCACCCCGCTAGCCTTCAGGAAGTCGAGCTCCTGACCATCGACACTGTTGCAGCGAAGAATAAGTATTTCCATCGATCCGGGTACTCACCCTACCAGCTGGTCTTCGGGAGAAACCCCGTCTTCCCAGGGCCCTGTTGACCGACGAAGGGGGTGTGCGATATAGGGGTGGATGACCTGGCCCAGGGAGATGTAGAAGGTAGCGACTCAGCCGCTTGAGCTTTCGCCCGGAAACATCGGATCCGAGAACAGGCCAAGTTGGCCCTCATGTCGGCTGAGGCACGGCCCCGGGTGTCCGAGGCAGGCAAGGCGAGGCGTCGCGCCGACAGGGTGTATGTCCCCGGCCAGTGGTTTACGTTTGGCGAAAACTTGCAGGGGCCCAGACCCATGCCCTGCAGCGGGGCCGCTGGGTAGGACTGGGCGCCGTTGTTTATCGGCGGGGCACGACCGCGCGGGTGGCCATGCGCACGAAGTTGCGGAAGCGCAGCACTGAGCAGGTGAGAGCCGCGACCAGGATCGAGGCCCAAGGAGCTGAGCTCGCCGACACTCCAGAGTTCCGAAGCCTTCAGGAGGAGGTCAAGAGCCCCGGTCGTCGCATAGGGGCTCTCGACGTGGAGCAGGAAGGCCGCCCCCCGACGAGGCCTGGCACCGCTCTGGCCCAGGGGCTGCAGAAGCCGGCGCCCCCCCCCCCATTGGCGGAGTCGGCGGAAGAGAGGCCCCTCAGGAGCCGCGCGACGACGACGACGACGACCTTCCTCCCCCCTGTCCAGTCCAGGATCAGTTCGTGAGGACCTTGAATCAGCGCGCGAGAGCCCCCCCCTCTCCGGCCCCCCCTTCGGAGAGTGACTCCGTCGAGGTTCCCGTCGCGCCCGCAGTCATTCCTGAGGTTCTCCCAGAGGTCATGGACGAGGAGGAGAAGTTCCACGACCCGCCGGCCGCGGCCCCCGCGCACCGACAGTCAGCCCTCTGCGTCAGACGTCGAGTCTGCTGGAGTTCGAGTTCTCCCAAGAGACAGTCAGGCCAAGGACTTGGACAGAGACCGTTCCCCCGGAACCGTTGCCGGGCCTCGCCAACGCACAGGGCGGGCAGGCTCGCCAGTCCGGGGGTCTCTGGCCCGGGATGTCCGGCTCACTCCCGCGGGGGAGAGCGACCGGCCCTCAGTGATCCAGCGCGCGCAGGAATGAAAAGCGGCTCGGGGCTCCCTGGAGGGGCCCGGCGTCGGGCTCGTCTGCGGGGCCGACTCGGGCCAGGAGAACGACTCTGGCCTGGGGTTCGAGGAAATGCGGTTCGAGGTCGGGGCGAAAAAAAGGGGAGGACTTGGACGAGCAGGATGTGAACCTCCTGGAAGAGGCCCGAGAGTGATTCACCGGTTCGGAGATGTGCGAGGGACTTGTTGTCACGGAAGGCTTCGGAAGG